AGCTGGTGTCGTCCCTACTCGGGGCAGCTATGTCGTCCGTTTCATCGGGGACAAGCTTTTCTTCGAGGAGTAACTATCGGACGGGACTTGGCTTGGTTCCATTACACCCGTAACAACGTGTTCTCGCGACACTTCGCCTCGTTATTTCCTGGCGCTTTCGTCTCGTAGGATCTGCGACGAAGATCTCGCGTACGGGACTTGCGCAACGGACTCGAACAACGGGCAACGTAACGGTGGTGATGGTGATACTGCTCTCCAATTTGCGATTCGAACTCCTCGAATCCCCTCATCCGGAAAGACACGACAGAAGTTTTCCTCCCTCCCCCCCCTGCCTTTCCGAGGACGACGACGAGATATCTATTAATAGTTTCCCCCCCCGTCTCTTGACATCGCGCTCTCATCGGCCGAACTTTATAAACGCACGCCGGAAACCTCGTCGTTCACGACTTGTTTAAACGTTCCGCAAAGTGTTCCGTATTGCGAGGCTCAACGTCGAATGCTGCGGCGCAGCACAATGTCAGAGAAGCGGAAGACACCGTCAGAAATACCTCGTTCGCGGTGGAGGCCTCATTTCCGTGTGCATCGCTCTATCGACGTTTTCGAGCGCAGGAACAGTTGCTCGCGTTTGCACGGGTAACTGACGCGCGCGTTGTAACTTCCGGCGACCGCTGCGCTGGCATAATGTATTATTTATACTAGAAATTCTCTCTCTAATGGCAATATAGTAAAGTCAAATATTCGATTCTGACCGTCAGTCTCAACATTTTCCGGAACTGTAAAGAAATGTTGTCGAAAGTCAATGCAATTCAAATAGATACATGAGCTTTTGTGTTTCAAAATTTTATATTTTTACATTTTATACATCTGTTGAAAGCTTCAATTTATCTGTTATACGAAAAATCAAAAGCAAAACCCATGATAACAACGTATTTCTAGTTTGTTTTCGATAATCTCAAAAAATTATACTCGTAGCGTAGATAAGGTTTCAGAAGAGTATCTACATTCTTTGCAAAATATTTGGACGAAGTACACCGCGTTGATGTTTCCCTTTGCGATTAACACAGCTATGAAAAACTTTAGTAACACAGATCCAAAAACGTCATACAGTAAACAGTCCGCCATCCATTATTAAAATGTCATGCTAAATTTAATGTGCATTATTTTTTACTCTAAGGACTCAGTATCTTTCAATATTTTCGGATAATATAAAGTATTGATTTGAACTAATTGTAAGCGTCGGCTATTTTCGCGCCGATCCTAATCCTAGACTTCAACAAATATTCTTAATCTCATCATTTAGAAACATCGTTAAAAGGTTTAAGCGATAACGGAGCAATAACGTTCTCGCAAATATATCAGCATGCAGCAAAAAACTATGTGATTTCTTCTGTATTGCATAACGAATTAACGGCGAGCATTGACCTCTTAGCGAGTATTCTTAAAAGTGTTGATCGACGCCGCATTCTATGTTTCGCGAGCGACCTACCGCAACGGCAATTCTATTAACACTACGGGTGGATATACAAAATTTTTTATTTCGCCAGTTTACGACGTGCGCGGCCGTATTACCCATCCGCGTTACGCCCGACGCCCATCCTTTTACCTCCCTTCCGTCCTTAACGCGGGCGCTACTCCTCGCTTTTTCTTCGCCGCGACGCGGCGAGTCGTTCACCGCCGGTGCAATTCCCTCTGCGACGCTAAATGTGTAAGCGATAAAAGTATCTCTGTTGGGAGAGAAACGCGTCGTTTTATGTACCCTCTGCATTTCCTTAAGGTCCGACTAGATATCCGTAAATTCGTGAAACGTTTTCAGGGAAAATCTCCCCGCCCGCGAGGAGAGAAATGTCTTTATGTCCACCATTCAACGACGTCGGAAAAGCCAATTGCGAATTTTTTTTTAAACGGGTCAACAAACATGTTCTGCCCTGTCGTCAAGTTGTCGGATTTTAGGGCGCCCGATCGTTTAATAATTGACGACTAGTTACTCCGCAAATAAATAGAATACCATATTGAAGAACGTAAAATAAAAAATTCTACTCGCTAGAAAACGCAAAATAATATATAAACCAAAATACATAAAAAGTAATATATATAAATGCTTGAAAAAATGTCGACATTTTGCCAACTCTAGTTATTTATTTCCTTCTTATTGTATACTGATCTAGTTTGGCAAATAACGCAGATCGATTTTCGTGTCACATGGAAAATCGAGTGTCGGTGCGATAACAATTACCACTAAACGACGGACGATGAGCGCTCGAACGGGAATACGAAACACGGTCCCCGCGCAGGCCACCATCAGTACCTCATTAATAACGTCAGTCACTCGTGGCACCGGTGATTTAGCGGGATCGCGCAGACACACGACAAGTTCCTCTTTCCCCTCTCGCCCTTCCCCTTTCTACCCCGGAGATCAACGGGCTTTCGTGAAAGAGAGAATAATGACGCTCGGCGTTGATCTTAAGCCCCGAGTTCGTCCGCTCGCGAAATTGCGATTAACGAAGACGCTTTCTTCGCATCCCGACGACCGTCTAACCGATAGCGGCGAAATTAAGCGCGGCGCTTATTTATGCGCCGCAATTGACGGTAACAGCCAGAGAGAGTGTCCGTTATTAAACACCAGCTGGCGAAATTTCCGCCCGGTACGGGTAAACTGCAGGCAGAAGCGTGCCCGCGATGTAATCTTAAGTGGAAAGCAATGCTCTCCCATTACACGGTGGCTTGCGCTTTAATTAATCTTTCACTGCTATCGGAAACTTGCAACTAGACCTGAAAGTATCCGCTACCGCTCGTAAATAAATAAAATAGCTTCCGATGGCTGGTGCTGACCAAGCGAGAGGTTGGCACGCCTTTCTTACGTGTATCAGATCCCAGAAGGGTCGTATCGGAAAGGGAATCTATTAGTTACACATGCACTACCCTAGAGTAGAACAAAAGGAACACGTCGCCGAAATCCGTGCTCCTTTAAGTCACATTTATCAATTGCAGCTGTATTTCCTGAAGCTAAATTTAAGCCGATATATTTTCTCAGATTACAATTTGGATCAAAATTTAAAAAAAGCACGCTCAACATGTATTTAATAGTTTCAACGTATATATATCTTGAAACTCACCAAGATATTCTCAATATTGTTACAAGGAGTTTTAAAGAAAGAAATTGGAGCAGCATATTGACATTTCGGTTCCACCATTTTGTAGCTCCGCTTTATCATTCAATAATCTGAAGTTCAAAAATCGCGCAGCCAGCAGGATCGATCCCGGAGTCTCTCCCTTTCGCGGCCGTAATTTATGACGAGAAGCTTGCGTCCGCTCGGCAATTGTACCTTCCTCAGTTCGCTAAATCGCATTCCCGCACTTGGCATGGGTGGTCGGAAACCCGCGCACCGATTATGCAAAACGATCGAACGTAACGATAACAATTAAGTGGAAGTGTTCGTGGGGCGCTAGCTATAGCTAGCTAGCCAGCTCGCGAGCGCGAGCGCGAGCGCGAAGATTGTATTCGGTTCCTCCCGTTTCTCGGAAAGCTTTGGACACCGCGGGGAGTTGACTTCCGATCTGGCACTGCTCGGACTTACGCGCGCATTCGACGCGAAAGTTCGCGTCGCCGCACCCTTGGCCGGGCTTCAGAAAACTCGCGGAAACCGTAAGCTTTGCTTGGCAAGTGAATCAATCACTCGGTATCTCTCGAACACCGGGCCTACGCGCGCGCGTTCCAAGCGATTTGCTCACTGCGGAGATTTCTTCTGGATCTATAACGTGGCCCGCTGCCAGAATGGACCTTTCCTGATGGCTCCAGCTTGACACTCGAAAGATATATCCGTCGTTAAAGGCTCGGCGAATAATAGTCTTAGCGCTTTCAACAGCGATTGTTTATTGCTCTCTGATTGCAGGGGATATGCTATGTATCACGCTTGTATATATAACATATTGCGTAGTTGTATATTTTTATCGTTACGTATAATTCATATAACACGTATAATAATTATCGTTTTATCTTATAACTGTCCACGATACTCTTGCAGAATCTTTTTCATCTAAATCGGAAACACTAAGATTATTAAATACTTGATGAAATCTTGACAAATTTCTTCTCGATTATTTTGTTGAAATTCTTTATGGTAGTTTGTGAAAAAATGTATTTTTAACCTCTTAAATTAATTCGAAATATTTATGCGCAAAAATTAATCGAGCTTTTATTTTTACTAACTCACATTATTTTCTATTAAACATCAACGCACGTCTCGATTATTTGCTGTACACTCGCACATCTCGTGCGATCCGAAAGGACTGTCTGCTTCTGAATACGAATACGTTCGTACTTCGACACTATCGATTCCTTGGAATAATATCCATATTGCTGTCGGAGGAATAGTCACGCTATCGGCAATGTTTACCAGCGGAAGCCGTCCAATCAGTGCGAAACCCTCCTCTGCCCGATGTTCGCCGTTAGATCCACTCGATCATACGAGAGGATCTGACGACGTGGTCCTTCTCCCGACATTTTTTACGGTCGGACAAGCGAGCGATGTCCGGACGTGAGTATCCTACAATTTACTTTACATAGTCCGCGTCCGTGTTCGTGCCACAGATCGCGTTACCGGATTGATTGTGAGTCCTTGTGTGTAACAACGTTACGCTCTCGTAATCATCGGGATCGCACGCGGGTCGTGGAACGCGCGTGGCCGACGCGTTACCGCGGAATTAATCAGTCTCTATCTATATTAGAAGGCATGCCCTGCGGTCAGATTAGAATCCCGACGGATCCGTTACGTAGACGGACAGCTGTGCCCGTTAATGGAGCCCGATCGGCGGTCGTGCGCGCCGACGACTATCTGCGCGATAGTCGCTAATTTAGCCATATCGAGCAGGACTTGAGCGTCGCAGCAGCGGCGAATAATCGCGCAAGAGCTCATCCTGCGGAAGAGCTTTATCCCTCAAGTAGCTTATCGATTATATATTCCTGTGCGATCGACAAATAAATCCGTTTGCCCAAGATTGCTCGTATTATCGAGAATAATCGATTATTTTCGGTAGTGATTTGATGGATAATTAGTTTTATCATCACATATACGGTGCTTTCTCGCAAACTCGTTCCCACGAAATACGTCATCCGTGCAGAATTTAACAAAGCAACATATTTTATTCCGTAGGTTAAATTAGAATTTAAATTTTGATTAAAACGAGATGTGTGTTACGAGCTGCTTAAAGTAATGTCAGAAAACTGTCGCTTGAGAAAGATTAAAATTATTTGGTGCACGCAAGTCGTCGGTGACCATAAGACGTAAACTCTTTTCCTCGCTGCTTCCGTATGTAAAATAAATACTACTGGATTTCTTCTTTTTGAATATGTGCGACTGCGGTCACCTGCAACACGGCAGGCAGATATCATAAGGCAGATATCAACGGGAGATGCCGGCCTCGACTTTATAATTTCAGATTTTTATGAGGTTTATGCACGCCTGACATCTGCGCTCAACAGAGAAAATGCGGGATATTTACTGAGGAAGCAAACACGGACACGGCAGGGAAAACACGGAAATGCAAGGAGCGCTGCAAACAATGTGTTACTTCTCGTACAAAAAAAAATAGAATTGCACTCGGCGTTCATGTTTTTTTTCTTTTTGCAAGTTTAAAAAAGAATTTTCTCTCTCTCTCTCTCTCTCTCTCTCTCTCTGTTCCTCTCTCTCACTCTCTCTCTTTTCAGGACAGAATTTTTTTTACGTATTTCAGAAAGCGTTTGTTCTCATCATATAAGTTTTATATATACTAAAGATCGCGAGTTATATAACTTAAATTGTATAATTTATATAACTTAAATTATGCGAATAATTTGAACTGCTTTATAGTCGTGTATAGTCGTTGTAATTGTAAAACGTACCATAAATAAAAGATTGCGCGGATTTCGTTACCGAGAAGTAATTTCTGTAGCTGTGAGTCGTTTGCATGAATTTCCTCGCTTTTGACGCCGGATGGCCGATGCAGAGAGAGAGTTTTGCCGAGCTTCAAGGAAGGTCTTGTATCGACTTTCGTAAGACCACGCGACATCTTCAGCATTATCGCTTCTCGAAACGCGACGGTTATTTACCCTGCGGGATATGAAGGGCTTAACTAGCAACAATGCAATTACGTTCGCGCGCTGTTTGCGATCGCGAATAAACGGAATTGCATTAGTCGCTACGGGATAATATAAAAACAAAAGTCGCCGAGGGTGCGCGGCGCGGCGCGGCATGGAGGCAACAGCAATAAGAGAGAGGAGAGAGCGCGCAGTTTATAACATATCGACGGTGCTTAAAAACAAATGGATTCCCAAGTGCCTCAGGAATGTTTACGGTCACCGATGGTTACCGTTATCGTCGTATCGATCGTAACGATTTCTAGTTACCTGCACCTGGCTCAACACGTGAGAGGCGGTCCTTTACGTGCAAGAAGAGTTGCCTCTTGTTTTTCTCGCTTAGTCGACAGTCGCTCTTTGCTGGATTCGCTTTAACGAAGCTCTTCTCCTTTTTTTTCGTTCGATGGTCGATAGTACTGCGGCTTAGAACAAAAACTGATAAATGACTCGAGTCTTATCGCAAATTATTGCAACTGCGTGCAGTTTTGTAACGGGGATAATAAGATAGTAGCATTTAACGGCACATAAGTTTGGGGTTTCTGAATTTTTTCTAGTTTATATTAAAAACGTTAATTTAAAAAATTTTCTCACATACACGTAAAAGAGGAATAAAGAGTAGAAAAAAAGAGTCGATTTTCGTACTAAAGAGATATCGATTCTCATGATCAGATTGAGAGGATGTTACGTGATCAGCGACTATATCCGTGTAAAATTACTGTTACTTCTTCAAATACTGGTTAATTGTAGCTGGTGTGTTTAAGAGACTTACCTAACGTTCATCTAAAAGTTGGTTTTGGTCAATCCAAATTGAGGCGGGCATTGCGGCCATCGGAATTAGTACACGCGGATCGGAAGGACAATCAGCCTGTAACTGCCACCACGCCGAGAGAGTATTACGAGAGCTTAGCCGATGACACCGTGAATGGGGATAAAGGGTGAAGAGGGATCGGCGAGAATCGAAGGCAGGGAGAGATACGGAGCTGAGCGGAGATACGCGGTGGGGCAGAAGCGCGCGAACCTCACGATCGAGAATCACTCCCCGTTACCGTCAGAGATGATCGTGCTGCGAATTCCACGCGAAAGATAGATTCCCTTGGCGATATACACCCGGCAATACCGAATCCTGCTCCCGTTTGCCTCGCGCGTTTGCTTGCTCTATTTCTCTCCCGCTCGCGTCTCTACGTGTTCCAGGGATACGGCCTGTGATCTTTGCCACTTTGTATACACAGCAAGGTCATCTTAGCGTCTACGCCGTCTACCAACGGAGCGTAGACGTACGTAAAACCCATTCCCATTTCTCTACCATTCGCGACGATCTCTCCTCTGTATGTGATACGACTGCCCTTCCGTGTCCGCGGCGACATGCGAAAACCTCTGAAGACCCTCGAAACTTTTCATCAGTGAACGACGGACGTCCTTGGCGCTCGACGCTCGTTCCTTGGATCTGAATGCGGCGGGATGAGACACGGTTTTCGTTGATACGTTCTGGGACCGGCTATCCCCGGGCAACGCAAGACAGGTGGCTGTAATCGGACAAACATAGAGTGTGACGTGTGCATTACCACGACGACGACGTAGCGAAAGACGATGCGGTAATAAAATATCATGAATCCCGTACTCCTCTTTCTTTCTCGCTCACAAATACGCTTCGTATTTTATTCGTCGCTGCAGAGCCACGGAGCTCCGATTACGCGCTTTGATCATGTTCGGATTAATTTTCGTTCCGCTTCCATTCCAATATCGTAGCGAAACGCACGATAGGATTCCCTGTTGACCTAATTACAACATTGCGCGAGTATCCGTTGAATTAATTTGTGATCAATCATTTCTCAGTTATACCTTTCACAACAAAAATTGTTGAAGAATCGAATATTATAAATTGAATATCGAATTGCGACTAGGTATCATATTACGTATACGTATATTGTATTTTTTAAAAATATATATGTTCATACACGGAGAAAATTTTATAGTAAATATTACTATGGTGTCGCACTAGCTGCGGACCATCGAGGAATTTTAAGTTAAATTACTATGTTTATAGTAAAAATTACGTTATTTAATCGTTTTTAAAACAATAATTATAGTATTTTAACTTGAAATTCCTCGATGGTCCGCTGCTAGTGCGACACCATAGTAATATTTACTATAAAATTTTCTCCGTGTATGTATACAGGGTGAATCTAATAACTGAACTGAGTTTTATACATCTCTGTATATAAATATATATATATTTATGTATGTATACGTATATATATTGTATATAACTCTTTTCTAAGTCAAGAGAGAAAAGAATGGTAGAGGAAAATCTTTCACTGTTTAGTATCATCTATCTATTATTAGGCGCGTTCAGCAGACCAAGCCGCTCAGTAGCAGTCGAACGTGCGTGGCTCTTACTTTTAGAACCAACCAATCAACGTAGAGTGTTGATAAGACGAACTCAACAGTTGTGTCTGCTGAACATTGTGTGATTAATAATGCGCCGATGCACCAGCAAAATGCAACTACAATTTCTTTTGAAATGGAATAAATTTTTTTATAAATTCCTCTCATTATTTTACGAAAAAAGTATTAGAATAGACAAGACAATCGAAAGGAATTCTTCTTACGGATATTTATAAAGGATAATGTATATTTGTGAAAAATTTTTTTCAGGAAATAATTTGAAAGAACGAATTACAACAGCTCAAATGGATTGATGCGTTATTTGAAAAAAAAACATAAAAATAATAAATCAAAATACAGTAAGAGATTTTCCTTTGCCATTTTTTTCTATCGTGACTTAGAAAAGAGCTATAATCTAGCCCAGTTACTAGAATCATCCTGTGTATGTAATATACCGTTTTACACTCGTTTTATCGTACAAATGTAATAGAAAATTCGTAAGCTAAAAACTTCTATGCATCCTTGATAAGATCGTAATGGCGCTCGAGAGAGTATTCGCGCTTAAAGTATTCCTCGAGAGAAAAATCATCTAGAACTCCGGTCGCGCGACCGAGCCCAGCCGAGAGAGAAAGAGGAAGAGAGAGAGTAAGAGTAAGATTAGTGGTGTGATAACATAAAGTAGATAACAGCCGAAGAGAGAGGCGGGCGTTATTTCGCGTCCTTCGCGAAACTTGGCTCATGCGGCGCGTAGTATTTCGCGGCACGAAGCAGCACGAAGTTGCAGAGCTTGCCTCTCGCCTCCATCCGGAACGTTCGACAAATCTAGTGCTTCGGGGATTCGAGGCGTTGCCTGTTGAAGTTTACCTGCTCCTCTTTCCAAATTATCGAAATTCCCATAGCGGTTTCGTGTATTTCACCTTTGATGCGCGATGCGCGACGAGAGAATAGCCGGAATCCGGAATAGCGGCGCCGGCGGTACGTTGACAGCTCGGATGTGGTAACCTAACCTAACCATCTCGCGGCGACGCGAGAGAAGGCCCGCGCATAGCGGAAAAGGAGTTTATCCGGTGACACGAGGTGACAAATCCTTTTAACCGCTTTATTGTCTCGCATTGTTGTTAATCGCGAATGTATCAACATTGTTACATTGCACGCAGGAAAGCGCAAATCGCGTCAATCGCGTGAATTCCGCTCAACCCCCTCATCGTTGGTGATTATTAACCCTAGAATCCATGTATCATTTTTGACCTTCTAATCCATGACTGGGGGCAATATCGACCCCACGCTTTATTTGATCGTAAAACCGGTCCTACAGCAATAAAGAGCCTTTAAACCTACATGAATTTCTTCGTTTTTTAATAACGAAGAGAATGGTATACGGTAAATTTAATTTTACTCAAGTTTAGTTAGTGAAAAAAGCCATTTAAAAACCGAAAAATGCAGAAAATCAGCAAAAACCTCTTTTTTTAAAGTTTGCCTGGGGTCGAAATCGACCCCTCTCATGGATTCTAGGGTTAATTCTGGCAGATGCGGATGAGGAGACATTGACCGTGACATGTATGAAAAAGAGACCTCCGGTTGGTAAAATTTGATGGCTTAATTTGCTTATAAATTAACATGGAGTAGATATCTATTTCGAAATTTTGTGTCGGCAATTTTGTGTTGAACGATATAATTGCGCTAACAAGTTACCTATAGCGCGTCAATTCTACTCTCTAATCAAAGCTTCATATCGCCTAGGTCGTGTTCTCGACTAAATATAAGTACACGCGCCGTAAGATCGTTGCATCGTCCTATTCGCAACGTTCCTTTGAGAGGACCTGGCGGTGTCAACGTATATTTCGCTTGGCCTCCACTTTCACTTTCTGCCATAGCGACGTGCTCAGATACAGATCGCGGTCTGTTGACATCTATTGATCATGACATGAATAATGAATGGATACACCGCTTGAATAATGCATGCATCAACGTCGAACAACATCCACTCGATAGCAGTGTATAACTAGCGGGGTATACTATTGGGAACGTTGATGAACAGAGGCCACTCGCTATTGGCCAGCACCATGAATGTCGCTACGTGACTGTAGGACGATATATTTTCTTTTGCGTCCAGTGCAACTAAAGCTAAAATCGAATCGAACGTTTTCGTGCTTGTCCTCGGAAATGATAAACATTTGATTTCAATTGTCGAGGCGTCACTCCCGCCCCTGAATCGTTAAATTTTTGCACGAGGAACGTTCATCGTACGTTTACAATCGGATTTTATATAAATTCTTTGAAAAATTCATTTATCTTCATATTAAGCAGAGTGTATGAGAGAACTAGCAATTGATATAATTGTAGTATTGTATTGGAGTATTATATTTATTAAGAAAAAGACATTCAAATATTATTACATGAAATTTAGTATGGTCGTAAATCGAATAACATTATTATGATAGGATAAATAATATTTTGAACTTGCTTTGTAGATGTGACATATATGAAAATAAGCTTTGAAAATAATTTGTCATTGCTAGATTGCGATTATTAAAATGCAGTTAGCATTTCGATTCTTCTTACATTCTAATGTCTAGCAATGAACGTTTTCTCGTGAAATTACATTTACTATGATAACAAATCAATGATCATTTAATCGCAACGGAAATAAAATATGCTATAAACGCTTTCGCGTTTTTTCATTGTAAAGTTTCGCCTCTTCGTATTCCAGTTTAATAGTTCTCGAGAAATAAGGAGAACTTCGGTTGTCAGCTCGTCTTCTGCGGAATCTGCAGCTTTGCGAGGGCTTTATACGGCTAGTAAAGATAGAATCAGGGTCCTATTACTTACGGAGGATATATTTCGTTCTTCTCCATACTAATACTTTTCTCTTAACTTCCATATTTACGTTGCACATTAATGAAACAGAATTGCTAGCACTAAGTAGGAATCATTTAATTATCTACAATATCTTTACCACAGATAATATGAAGAAATAAATTTAAAGCTGTAATCAATCGCGCATTTATTTAATATATTGCATACAATAATATACATTTTTATTTCACGTTGTTATCGCTTTCAGCGTGCTTTATTTTTGAAAAACAATACTTATGCATATATTTAGCTCGGGAAAAATTAAATCTCTCTGTGATATTGTAAGGATACTTGTTAAACTGCATGAAAGAGCACAACAGAAACTCGTATAAAGAAGTGTAGAGGTAGAGGCTAACAGTAGCGCTAACAGAGGCTTAAAAGAATGGAGTGTGTGCTTTAGTCGTTAGGCAAGAGAGAACGTTAATGAAAGAGCCACCGTAGAATTGCCTTGTGGCATGCAAACAAGTTGGGCTGTCGGTCACCCTCAACTACTGGCTCGCTACAGAGGGATTGCGGGACTCGCGGCTGCAGGATGAGAAGGCGGGTCCCGGGAAGAGAGCTCTTAGTTGCGTTAGGTTAGGTAGTTGTAGCTATTTGCGGCTCATCGGAACCATAATTAGTTTTCCCCGTTGAAGTCTCGGTCGACCAAGCTCGATAGGCAGGCAGTTTTAGGCGAGGGCGGCCAAGCGTGCGGAACGACGGCGGCGCCTGCTCGCCGCGCCGCGCTGCGCCAGATAGAAAGTGCCCTTCGCAACGACGTTCTTGTCGCGGCTTTATCAAATTCCAGGACCGCGCTAACTCGATCAAGTCTCAGTCTTCAGAATATTTACTTTCCGGTGAGGCGTAGAAGCGTGATGAAGGCGGACGACTAATCCTGTTCTGTTGTTTCGCCGTAACAAACGGCTAGACAATTTATTCGCCCTTTGAATTCGGGCAGCGCGTCGCTCTCTCTCCGGGCTTGCTTGTGAGTGTTTATGCAACAATGCGCAAAATAATACATTGCGTTTATTTAAACGCGTGTCTGCGCTTCTTGTCTCGGGATTCAATTTTCGAAGAACATCCATATTGCAAAAAAAAAGCGTAAACTCTATCGATCGAGGGTTTTACGTATAATTACAGGAACTATTTAATTACATAACTCGGCGTACAAGTACATTATATCCTAATTAATCTCCCTGTCCGTCCAGTTAATCAATCGTGGCCGGGTGTAAAACAGTTACAGCCGTTACAGGAGTACGTGGTAAATACCGATAATAGTTGAACTCGTGGTTGAAGCGTGATTTCTTGCCGGGAGGTCACGCGACGGTTTATCCAGAAATACTTAAAAACCGAGACACGCCGAAAATACTGATAATAACAAAAGCGCGATAAGGCGACGGGCTATAAAAAGCGCGAGGGAAGACTAACGAAAAATGAAATCACGGTAACTTTTTTTAACGGTGACCACGTCAGAGAGACTGACGCCATTATACCGCGTCGTTGTTGTTGCAGGCTCCGTGAACGAGGCTGGGGTTTTTGCGCTACGAGGCAGGCAGGAGGGTAGTCGGCGTGCCAGGCGAACTACCACCAGCACGACGAGCACGACGTCTGGCTCGACGTTGATACCTTTACCTGATGAAGTGGTACAACCCGCGGCTCTTTTGGCCCCCGAGGAGGAGTCATGGTCTACCAGTTCTTCCACCACGACCAACATTGCTCTATCCTCAGACATGGCCGACACGTCGTCCAATCCGCCGCTGGAGCTCGTAGTGAAGCCTCACAGTAAAGTCATCTTACCCTGCGAACTGGAAGGAAATTACTCGAGATTATTGCTGCCAGGAGCAAGGTAACACGCGTTCCCGCTTTCAGTCGATTTACCAGTCGATTATGAATTGTTGAAATAACATTTTAGTTAAAATTGTCGAGAGCGCGAAGTATATTTGAAAGTATTTTAAATATATATATCCGTCCGAGTGAGGAAGTATCGTGTTTAAATTTCAAATAAACGCGTAACATGATATGTAATCGATAATCTCCATTTTCTTCTTTTGTCTAACTAAAGTAAGCCGTCATATCTTTTCTCCGCACATGTCTGTATAATAAAATGTTCATTATATTAACGCATATATTAATATCCGGTTCATTTTATAGCAACGATAACTTTCGCATTGAATACGTCGCGGTCAAATTATTCCCTTTACTGAAACAAAGTCGCTCTCTGTGATAGTAACGCGAGTACGGTTGAAGTCCCTTCGTCGCCCGAAGATCGGGCGTAACGAAGTTTGTTAGGTGAACTAATAATGCGGACGCTGCGCCCCTTGTCAGAAGTTACAGAATACGACCGGCGACGTGGCTGCACGAGGGTAGTCCGGTGGATATGATCACGATAGACACGAGAACGGAGATGAGCGGAACCGGGCACCGGTACATCGGCGACTCGACAACCGCGCAATTGCACATAGATAACGTTAGATTAGAGGACGACGGTGTGTGGAGCTGCACGCTGGAGGACGACCGGGGGAAGATCCTTTTCGGCAAACCGGTGAAACTGGTCGTGCTCGGTGAGTGTCTTGCAATCTCCTTTCTGATGTTTAATCTTTTGAAGTCGAATTAACACCAAAAGTTGAGCTCTTTATGACAAATATCTTGAAAAATTGAATGCCGTTTTTTCTTCTTACTGCACTTATTTATCTATGTGCATTGTGTATAAAATATGATTATTATGATCACTGACCACTTCACTATTGCATAAATAATTTAATAGGTAAATAATTTAATAAATAATTTAATAAATAAGTACATTCAATAAATAAATACTCCATTTGAATTATGAATTGTGTTGCACGATTGAAAGAAAATATCTCAGGCAACGCATATGTGAAATATTTGATGGAGTCATACAAAATTTACATGTAAAACGGTTTGGAATATACAATTATTTATCCGCGTGCGCATGACTTTCTATATATATATACGATATTGATATATTAATTTATAATTTGTGCGATCGATATTACTCGAATATTTTTGACGTCTAACAATTAACTGAAACGATTGTGCTGATTTGATTTATAAATCGAAATAATGTTCTTTTTTAATATAATAACATGAAAATTTTTTACCTCGGCTTTACAAAAAAGTGGCGAATTTTCTGAATATAACGCATTTTTATGACTTTGAAAAAGTGAGATGTATGCGAATTTTTTTCAAAACGTGATTCTATCTTGCATAAAGCCTTTCAATTTCGCGCGAATGATTAAATTCTCGCAAAATTCCGACTGATAAAGTTTTTTAGGAATGTGCTAGATATATTTAGGAGCGATAACATACGAGAGAAAAATTTTTCCGCAGCGTATAATCGGGAGAAGGCAAACTTTTACTGTTCCCAACATTTTTCATTTTTACATTCCACATAATTCTTTCCTAAAAACTATCATTGGATTCAAATAATTAAAGACATTTATTATTTCAATTCTAAAAATAGTAAAATTTTATTCTCATAAAAGGATAAAGAGCATATAAATAGATAGAGTTTTTATCGCTCGTCAATACGTCAATTTTTAAATATTTTTCTTCAAATATCCAATTTTTCTAAAAAAATATTTCTTCCTTTTTGATGTTTATACTTTGTCATGGTCTCTCTTAACAGTATTTGATTTATCTATCTTAGCCCTCAGGGTACGATCTATAAAAAAGTTACGTTCCGTACGAACATGGGTTAGCCTAACCCGGCGACTTTGATTGACTGTATATCGGGCTGTAATTTATCAATTGAAACAAATTTTTTTTTCTTTGGATCGGAAATTTTCTCAAAAATACAATGGCGTTGGTAGATTTATTACCTTATTTGTTTAAACAAAGATACATTTGAAAATGTAAACCATTCTCAAAAAATTTTCATAAAAATTCATTTTTTCTTTTAAATTGCATAACTTTATGAAAAAAAAAAGATATCGACATTTTTTAAGTCGCGTTTGAAAGCTAAAAAGTTGTTCTTTGAAATGGCTGAATTCGTTTTTTGATCCATTCCAAAAAGTATATTTTTTTTGAACTATGAAAATACCCGTTTTTTTGCGATAGCGATATAACGTTACTTGCTTGATTTATCGCAATAACGCAAAAAAAAATATCTTAAAGTAAAAATAGTTCTTTTGGATGTTGTTGATTAGTATAATATAAATAAATAACAAAAATTGCATGCACGGATACGTTATGCTGGTATGCTACAGAGCATCATTTTGAGGTTAGAATGCACAAAAGTATATAAAAAATAGTAAATTATACATACCAGAATACTCTACTGCAGCAAATACTCGAAAAACACAAATTTTTTTTGTTTGAAAAACACGGATTTTGTAACGTTCCGTACCAGCTGGGTGTAGACTACCCGAGTTCAATTTTCAAATTCGTTTATCTTGAGCACCAAGCGTAGACTGACGCTGCCCCTTGGCGCTTACATAGTAGCTACCTCAAAGATTTTTCCCCCCCCGGTACGGACCCCCACCATTCACTTCCTTTAAAATGGCGCTACTTTCAAAATTCGGCTCGGGTTACGCTAACCCAGATCGTACCCTGAGGGTTAGTTGTACTACTGACTAGATACTGACTACAAGTAGAACTTGTAGTACTGATTAAAATTTGATTAATTAAAAATTATTGTACGATATATTAAGTGACTTACTGCAACAAGAAACTTCTCGGCATTTCTTATCCTTGTTGCACCCAGGTTCAAGTAATATAGATATCGTAAAAGTGTGGCCGTTTTTAAGAATTTCTGGCAAGTAGGTCGGACCTCCAGAAATCGGAGGAAGAGACGTTTCAAGCTGCCTGAACCGCTGGTAATGGCAGAATTTATGCATATTAATTCGCACCACTTGGACCCGGCGCGGGCGCGGCGGTCGCATCACTACGACATGAATATGCATTCGGCCTAAAAGTTCGTCCTAAAACATTTTACCTTCCTATTTTTTCTTTTTCCTTCGCTAGACGGACGCGTCATTCGTTCTACCGGCTGCACTTGTCTCCGCAGCGAGGCGTACACGTTTACGCGCAGCAATCGCGGCACCGGTTGACGCGCGCGTGACGCTCTTCGAAAGCTCACGATCCTCCGACGGAATAAAAGCTTGCTTCGTGGTTTCTGCTCTCTCCGTTCCTGTTTTTAATATTCAACCGCAAAACAGAACGAAGAACACAGCGAGCTTTTATCTACCGTGGCGCGGTACGTTTGCTCGGGACGCGACGCGCGTGTGGTTGTACACTCTCTTCGCATGCATTTTTGTGCGTTCTTCTCTGTGCACCGCCTGATTATTCTTGGTTCACGGTGATGTTTATTTTTCGGTCCTCGCGCGCGAGCGCTTTGCACTGACAACGATTTTTACTGACGGCAGTGTTGTTTCTCGCGACTCTGCTTAGCACGGCACTTTTAAATGTTAACGTAGACCGAGATATTATCTACGTTATATAGAAAATTTTTTTTAATTTTAATATTTTTTTATGAAGCATTTTCAAACTATTTAAATAGACGAGAACGGTTTTTTGGCACTAATTTCTTGCGATCTATAAATATAAATTTCCACGTTGAGACTAATGAAAATGAGAAAGATGCAGAGGTTCGATAAACCTTTTGATAAATGAAATCTACTTGACGTTAACTAACAACTGTAAACATTATTTTGCCTGTTAGTATCTCGAAAAGTTTAATTCATGCATATATATAACTGGCTTATAAATAAACGCTCACGCAATATCGAGAAATGGATTTGGACTGCTTCGAAATAAATTCTGAAAACGTGACCAATTACTTTCTTTCACTTCCCGGCACTCCGACTTATTTCGCGTATCTCAATGAACTCCATCGACTTCATAAATCTCCGGATTTATATCTTCTCTATTGTGCCTTTCGCAAACCGGTCGGGTAAATACGAAAGAAGAGCGCTAAAAGTTGCCTGCCGCATGAAATATGGCACCGAAATCCGCGCGGCGCACGATAAGACGTTGAGTACACTTAACGTCTACCCTGGCGAAATCGAGAAAAACAAATCAACTCCGGGTGTTCCAACCCGGAAGCGCGCGTCCAGCACGCCAATGCGAGCACAGTAAGCTTTCATTGAAATGCAATAGCTTGTATTTCTTTCATACTTTGTTTTGTACATTATATCTTGCCATACACTCCATCGCAAGATGAGAGATATACCGCCGTAGTTGTATATACGCTAACATCTACGAGTGTCGCAATAAACACACTAGATCTAACAAAAAATGCTTTAATTATTTAGTTTTAAAATTATTTGTCTTATATATCATAGTTTCAGGCCGGTATTCATAGTCGAATCTTATATTCAAGACTAACGATCTTTAAGATGTCATTAACCAATCACAAAGTCGTATTAGCATCTTGAGACATTACTTAAGACGGTCTTAAAATAAGAACCGACTATGAACACCGGCCTCAATCAATTTGTGAAAAATTAATAACATAATTATGATCTTATAATTTGGAGAAAAGTACTGACTAACAAAATAAATAAAAAGATAAATAAATACTAATAAAAAAAGATAAATATACTAATAAAAAACTAAATAACAGATATATGTAATAAATAACAATACATAAATTAATAATCAACAGTATATGTTAATTTTATGCTTATTTTATTCTAACAATATTAAGATTATCGTGTCGGATATTGTTTCGGCTTTTAGGAGCTCTATCGATTATCAGAAAATTTGGGTCAATTTACGATAAATTTAATGGTGGTCGCAACGTCGGGCCGATGTGACACCTTTTGACAATAATTCCATAATGTACGTGGTACATGTTGATGATTATCATGTTTCTCCGGTTATCGAACTTAGCTTTAGCTATGTAACGCATATCGCATGTTGCTTATAGCTGCAACATAAAGCTATGAAAATGAGAAAATGTACAAACTCAATTTGTAAAATAGAAATAATTTCCCGATATTTTCGTGCTCGCAATATTCAATTATAAATACATGGCATACTTTATTTATCAGTTTAAAACGGCACATTTCTATGCGATTAATATTGTCAAATGCATGTTGACAGAGTCATTATAATTTTGCAATTTATTATTGTTAATTTAAAATGCAGAGCATCAGATCGACGAAGAGCGTTAATCAAAATGCGTGACAATAAAAGGGATTACAGTGAACCAACAAATGTGAAATGCTGAAATAAAATACATACGCAAATAATAATAATTAGTGGATGTAATGTTAACAGAAATAAGTTATAAAAGGTTATTTAGAAGAATTAATAGAAGCAGATTAATGGAAAGCTGATTTTAATAAATTTTCTTTATTGTGCATGTTAAAAAGATTACATCAATACGAAGTTTTAAACCTATTTTTAATAGCAGATACTTCACAAGTAATCTCAATATCATTGCGCATCTTTTATTTCGAAAACGACCCCTGGGTCGGTTCGGGGAAATGCATCTGAAAGGAGATAAAACGCGAACAAGTTTTTCTTTAGCGATAACATCATAAGGCATGTCCCGCGAAATCATCACCTCTACTTTTCACCGATCATTGGAAAT